TAAGCCGTGCACGCCTCTTGTCTCTTTAGCTTTTCCCTCCTGTTCTGAAGATTCAGCAAGTGCCCAGCCATGATCCTGAGGCTGCAGGAACTGTGGGCAGAATACAAGATGCATATCTTCACTTAACTGTGTGACTGGTAAGAAATTCAGTAAAAAGGCTAGTGGAATTCCTGTTGCATAACATATATTGCTACAGATGGGTGACAGTTTAAAGAAACATGAGAGTCCTGGTCTGGTGCCTTTGAGCTCTGGGCCACTAGAGTGTTTCTGATGCTGATGGAGAATGATACAAGGTTCTATACCATGCCTATGTCTGGAGATTCAGTACCATCTTTCGATATGACACACCTCCTACAGAATGGCACTGAGACACACATGCTGGTTTGCCTTTCGACAACCGCCTGGCACCAATGCTGAGTGGGTGGATCTGAAAGATCAAAGATCATGTTTCTATTGTTTATTGAGGCATTAACCAATAGGACCTTCCTTGAAGATCTGCTTGCCTACTTCATATATTCCTGCGCCAAACTCTCAGCTTTCTACTAGCCAGCCTCTTCCTTTCCCCTCTCTTATGCCAACCTATAAGCAGAGGACAATTGCATTGATATGGTATGATGCCCACTTCACTGCCTAACTTTTTTGCTGGCTAAGGTAATCTCAGGATGGTATTGAGCGTTCCAGTGGTGGTGGTGGTGGTGGGGGGGGTACGCAGCCATCCGTGATAAGATGTTCTTGGAAGACAGCTCAGAATGTTATGAAAACCATGTGTCTGTTGCAAATTATGTATGTCACTACACAGGTTACTGGGTACAGTCTTGATTTGGTATCCTATTACTACAGATGCATGATATGGGAGTGGGGGAGCTTAATATAGCTCCTTTGTCATAAAGAAATCATTGTCTGGTGGGGTTTAGACTCCCAATAAGACTGACATTCTGCAGAGGCCTGATTCTATATTTCCTTAGTGTCAGAAGTACTGTGGGTTAGCTCTAGAGACAAGGCTTTATCTGTTCTGGCTCTGACACGCTAGAGCTCCCTCTCTACAGAGGCTTGCCTGGCACCAGGCTTTTAGGTGACAGGCAAAACAAATTCTTATTCTTTCAAGTTTTGGGGTAAAACTTTTGCTTCCACTACCATGGAGCTTTCACCTCTGGTGGTGATGCTGCTTTTATGACTTTAGGTTTTAGATGCTTATGTTTTATCTGAAGTTTAGCACCTTTAATGGGTATTTTAACCTGCTCTGATACACCTTTGTATTGTTGGTTCTGTATGTTTCTTTAAATTGATTGTGGGATATAAATAGTTTAAATAAACTAATTTAATAAAGAGTGGTTAGGATATACAAACACCTTGACAAATTTCCATTGGTAAATGACAGATCCGTCTACACCCTTGGTTTCAGCTGCAAATGTTTAACCCATTCTTTTCCCTTCTTTATTAATCAGTTACTAGCAGATGCTCACAAAGTTACAACTGTTGTTTCTTTGTGACTTTTAATGTGTGTGTTGCATTGGGGAACAGAAGCCTATAACAAAGCAAGCATTATTTTTTTTGTGCATTGTAATGAAAAGGGGATTCCAAACATGATGGCCTATATGTAAATCATACATTTCATAAGCCTGTATACCAACCTGAACTAGGTCTAGAGTGAGACGTTTTGCTTTCAACCATTTCTGGAATCTCTCAGTCTTCCATAAAGCTCGCTCAATGCTGCAGCTTTTAGCAAAGGTAAGAGAAGTACAGATTCTCTTGTCAGATTGGTCATGCTGGTATTTTGTCATTAATCTGGAGATTTCAACTGGCCGCCAACTTTTAGTGTCATCGGTGTAGTTTCCAGAGTAGCAGGGGAAGTAGTTCGGAGGCAGTTTTAAATGAGAAGAAAGCCAGCTGTCAAATCTATAATTAAATCAAGAAAAATCACAACACTGTTAATCCACCTTAATCCAGATAAGCACTAACATACTGTGGTTTTTGCCAAATTCTTACAGCTTTAGATAGGATTCCAAAACTGATCTATCTAGTGCATTTTTATTTCACCCTTTCTCCCAAAAGCTCAGGACAGCATATATAGCCTTCCTTCCCACATTTTATTGTCATAACATCCCTGTGATGTAGCTGAGGCTGAGAAAGTGTGACTGGCCCAAGGTTGTGTCTTGGCAGATATTATCTCCTTTTCGTAGGGTGTAGAATATTTGACAAAGAACTCATAGTCACTAGAGGATCTACCACTGCTTTTCCATTCTATGCAGTGTCACTCAAAAGCTTTCAAAACTAGCAAAACGAATATGTGTCATAAATCCCAGAAATATGTAATGTTGAACATTACCTGATCTAGACAAACAGTCAATAACCAGAATCATATCTAATATGAATCTCAATTATGAAAAAGATTGGGAATAAGAAATAAATGGGTCCTAGAAAATAAGTTCCGTAATGTGATTGTAAAAGGTATCCCACTTCACAACATGATTCCTCTTCTGACTGCAAATTGTCTAGGAAATTGGAAACAGTAAAATGCTTGCTTGATGTATGACTATTGATTGTGCCTTGAGCAGATGATACTTTTTCTTTTTATACTATGCTCTTTTTATCTATTTCTGAGGTTTCTCTCTGTTGACTCTTATTGTTTAACATGAGGTTGCTTTATCCTCCTGTTACGTTTAGTCCAACGTCCTGTCACACACGGTGCCCAACCAGTTCCTCTGGATGGCCAACAACAGGGAATAGAGGCCAAAGCCTTCCTCTGATGTTGCCTCCTGGCTCTGGGATTCAGAGGATTGGTGCTTCTGAATGTGGACGTTCTCCTCGGTCACCATAGCTAGCCATTGATAGACCTCTATCACTTCCTCCTTTAGTCATCTCTTTTCTAAACTGAAAAGTCCCAGACTCTTCAGCCTTTCCTCATAGGGAAGGGGCTCCAACCCCCTCATCATCTTGGTCACCCTCCTCTGTACTTTTTCTAGCTCTGCAATGTCCTTTTTGAGATACGGTGACCAGACCTGTACACAGTATTCCAAATGAGGCCGCACCATAGATCTAAACTCAAACTGAGTTCTCTTCAGCAGCCAATAGCTGATGCTAACCAATCAAATTCCTTTGAGCAGCCTGTCAGTCAAAGGCTTTCTGGCTCTGTGAGGCATTAACACTTCACAGTCCATGATGTGTTTATACAGCACTTATGAGCTTTTAAAGTGCAGTCCATCACAGTAGTTGATTCTCTGCTTTAGTCACCTCCCTTATTTCCTTCTCCATCTCAAGATCAGCTTCAAGGGTTTGATCAGGTGGGCAACAGTACACCTCCATTTTTAGGTAACCCTTAGGGCTCAGTATTCCACCCATATTGCTTCTATTGGGAAGTTAATTCACCTGACGTTTTCTAACTATGCTCTCTTTGATGTATGACGCAATACCAACAACAACCCATCCCTCCCTGTAAACTTATATCCAGGAATGACTGTATCCCATAGATTTTTCCCCATTCCACTATGTTTCTGAGATAAATGCTGTATCTAAATTGTCACTGAATATCAAGCAGTCCAGCTCTGCCATCTTGGCTCAGAGACTTCTAGCATTGGCATATAGACACTTATAATGTGCTTCCCTCTCCAGTAACCCTCAACTCCCTCAGCCCCTTAGTCACCACACATGGTCACCTTTTTAATGTTAATCACCAGTGGCCTGGCTTCCTTTTGGTTCAAGTGAAGCCCGTCTCTTTTCTGTAAGTTCAGCATGTCCCAGAAAGTTCTGCAGTGCCTAACAAATCCAAACCCTTCGTCCTGGCACCACTTTCTCATCTATGCATTGAGATCCCTGACCTGTGCCTGTCCATCTGGCCCTGTGTGTGGAAACAGCAGAACTTCTGCGAATGCTACTTCTGAGATCCTGACCTTTAACTTTCTGCCTAGTAACGTAATTTTTTCTTCCAGGACCACACAACTACATTTCCCAATGTCATTGGTACCAACGTGTGCCATGACTACTGACTCCTCCCCAGCACTATCTATCAACCTATCTAGACAATGCGTGATTTCCACAACCTTTGCACCTGGCAGGCAAGTCACCATGTAGTCAAAATGCCTGTCACAGACCCCACTCTCTATATTCCTAATGATCAAGTCACCCACTACCAGAAGCCCACTTCTCCACAGCCCCCAGGAGTATCACTGATATGAGAGAATACTGGATAATCACCCAAGGAAGGGGTCCCTTCTAAGGAATCACATCCCTCCTCCTCAGATCGACCTTTAGACTTTCACTCTTCACAACAGCAGAAGAGCTGTCAGCACAGGAGTGGGATTGTTCTGGTAAGTTCCTGAGGGTCTCTTCCCCAAATCTCTCTCTCTCTCTGACTGATTTCCCACAAGCCACTGCTCTACGCTTGCTCTTCTCTTTTTCCTGATCCTACGTGTCAATTTCACACTATATGCTGTGCGGTGGCATTTTGCTCCGCAGCTTTGCTTGATTTCCTCCACATCTACTCAGTTCTGTTTTTTGAGGATTGAGTAGACGTGGGGAAAATTGGGCAAAGCTGCGGGGCAAAATGCTGCCATGCAGCACATAGTGTAAAATTGACACACACGATCGGGGCAAAGGGAAGAGCGAGCGAGGAGCAGCAGCTTGTGGGAAATTGGCCTCTCTCTCTCTCTCTCTCTGCACCTCAGCTTCTCCAGGTCGGCAACACTAGCCTCAAGGGAATGAACCTGCTCCCTGAGAGCCACGAGCTCCATGCAGCAAGCACACACCAACAATTTCTACCCAGTGGGTAGATAATTGTACATGTAGCAATCTCTGAAAAACACTGGCTAGCCCTTGCTCCCCTGCTGGCTTTCTACCTTCGTAACTAAGGTAAAGGTAAAGGTTTCCTTGCTCGAAAGCCAGTAGAGTCTGACTCTAGGGTTGCGGTGCTCATCTCCGTTTCAAAGCCGAAGAGCCAGCGCTGTCCGAAGACGTTTCCGTGGTCATGTGGCCGGCATGACTAAACACCAAGGCGCACGGAATGCTGTTACCTTTCCACCTAAGTGGTACCTATTTATCTACTTGCAATTTCTTGCTTTCCAAACTGCTAGGTTGGCAGGAGCTGGAACTAGAGACGGGAGCTCACTCCATCATGCGGCAACTCGGGTCTTGAACTGCTGTAATACTGACCTTCCACAGCCTGCAGTTCAGCGTCTTAACCACTTGAGCCACCACAGCTCCTACCTTCATAACTAGTTAGTGGTTAAAAGGTAGCTAGAGTGATGCAGGGTCTCCAGGCCTGATTCCCAGGCTAAGAGCTACAGACCAAGAGCCTTCCAGTTCAGAGGCCACAGCCCCCACCTCCCAGCAGCAACAGCAAAGGGTGGGGCCTGCAAACAGACCTTGCTCAATGAGCAACAGACCAGACAAAAGATCCAAACAGAAGACCCAGACAAAAACACTACTCTCCAGCAGGCTACAAGCACCCACTCACCCTACAACTCTGTCCTCTTGCAAAGCAACCTCAGTTAATATTCCCCAGTAGTTTAGCTGTTTAGGAAAGGCAAACCCCTCCCCAAAAAACCCACCTTCCCAGTCACTTTCTCCTGGATTCTTTCTCCCAGCCTAGCTGGCTCAGTTAGATGTTAGAGATTTCCTTGTTTCATCAAGTTGCTCAAAAAACCCTGACATGTGCATACACACACACTCTTTACCCCACACACACACCAGCTTTTTTCCTGTGGTCACAGAGAAGATTACAACAATTAGGACATTTTATTGAATGCCTGGCATTAGACTAAAAAAAACCAACCCTAGTGTATAGCCAATATTATTTATTTTACAGACTTACATACAAAATAGTCCCTCTTGTAAACATTCAAATAATGTTGGCTGTACACTTCTTTTTAGTCTAATGGGAGGCATTCAAGAAAATTTTCTAATTGTAATAATCTTCCCTGTGAACACAGGAAAAAATGTCCTAATTTAACCTCATCACAACTCTGATGGTAATAATTCAAAAATGAATATAGCCTTGGCAGGATGTTCTGTTTAGGGTGAGGTTAGAATACTATCTTATGAAGCTGTATTAACAAAATAATAAAACTAATTTCAGTGCTTTAAAACTGGAATTTTCCCTCTGCTTCAAATGAATTTAATTTAAAAATGCAGATGGCTTCCACAGTTAATGAGAAATGAGTACAATTTGAAAAGAGCCTAATGGTTTAGTCACCCCATCTAAATTTCAAAAATGATTTAGGAATTTATGAGCCTTGGGCAATAATCTTCAATTAGAAAGTAACCCCAGTGGAATCCCTGCAGAGTATTTGGTTTGATTATGGCTGTCTTTGAGATGACTTAATTTAAAATTGTAGTCTCTTCTTTTATGGAGAGTGAAATCTGTTTATGCACAAACACTTAAATTAATTTGAATTGTCAAGTTATGTTTGTGAATGACAAGTTATTAAATGGTTAAATAAATAACAGAGAGTCATCATAGTGTATCAATGAACTGAGCCCAGAGAGACCTACAGGAAAATCCTAAACAGGGTTACCCCTATGAAGTCAGTAGATTTAGGGTATAATTCTTTTTAGGATTGCACTATTAGATTTAAATCCTCACTAACAGTGCAGTCTTAAGAACTCTTCCAGGGAGTAAGTTCTGTTGAATTGTCCTGCATAGCATTCTGACAAAACCTGCTTAGTATTGGTCTCTCAACTATGAGTGGGAATAATAATAATGGAAAATAGACAATAGGAATGGAATAGTTAAAGCCAAAATGGCTTAGCAAGGAGGGGAAGGGTGTGCCCCCCCAAGACCTCCAATAAGAGGGAGGAGAGGCTTCCTCTGCAGCACCCAGTTTCGGCGTCAACCCTGTTCAACTTTCCTTTATAGGTATGGAAGAAAGACTAGAAGTATAAAATAAGGATGCTGCACAGAGGGAATCCAGCAAAAGAAGTATAGAAGTCTTGAATAACTTAAAGAAGAATGTAATAATGTTTAGATCATGAATTAGAGGAAGTTGTGCGGCGGTTTGGGCAAGCGGGTAAAGAAAGGGAATAAGATAACGAGGATAGAGAGTACTTATATGCTTTCAATGACATTTTGCTAGTTTGAAAGGAAAAAAAATCCAGCTAAAAATTAGTCTTATAACAATGTTGCCAAAGCTATCCTTTACATATTCTTTATGTAAGAGCCAAGTCCTACTTGGTCTAATAGTATTAGTATAACTACAAGTGGGAACCTTCAAGGACTTGCAAGAGACATCTAATTTCCCCCTCCCCCACTATTTCCTCTTTCCGTCCCTGAATCCCCAAAGCCTCTTCCCTACTCCTGCTCCTTTCTCCGCTTCCAACCCAACAGGGAACCTACACTTAACTATACCTTTGTCTTGAATTTTCCCTCTTTCCACCCAGCAGACTCTGCCTAGGAAAAATATGCCCCAGTTGTATGGTGTAGGCCACTGGGCCAGGTCCACTTTCATGGTAAGGAGCCTGAAAGGACTTGGGAAGCGTGTCACTTGCCCCTGTATCCCCTTCTCTGTAAAATTTCCTCTTTCCCGCCTCCTGGCAACCCCCATATCCTCCTCCCTTTCCCTGATTCATATTCTCCTCCTCAGCCATTCACCAACCTACCTTTTATCAGCTTTCCGTCGTCAGTTATATTTGTTATTTATTTACTTCATATATACTGCACCTTTCTCCACATGGGGACCAAAAGAGCTTACATTATTCTCTTATCCACCTTTTTATCCTCACAACAACCATGTGAGGTAAATTAGGCTGAAGGTTTGTGACTCACTCAAAATCACTCAGTGAGCTGCCACACACACAGCAAGATGAGGATTCAGATCTGGGTCGCCCAGCCCCTACTGTGAAGCTACACCACACTGGCCTACATAGGGCAGCTGCTGTTGAACAGCAGCAAGTAGCCAGGCCTAGATGAGTAATACAAGTCAGATGGTATCAAGATGGCTGCTGACAGGTAAGCCTGGTCTCAATGAGTCCTTTCTCAAAGGCCAAAGAAGCTCTGGGAAGTACCCTTCCCCTCCCTCCTGCCTTTTACTAGAATTCTGTGGTTGCCTAGCAACAGCTACTGAGGGACTCTGTTTCTTAAAGCTACAATGCTGCTTTTATCATTTTGGCTTTCTTTAAATAAGTTTTTTTTTTTAGATTTCAGATTTTTATTTTTATTTGCAAACCTGGGGTATTTTTCAGGTTTGTAGAAAGTTCTGTCTTGTCTCTTCACAGGTCCAGTCATTGGATTTAAGTATCTGTAGATGAGGGCCAGACTTTGCTATTAGATATATAGATGATGATTGCTGCATTGTAGCTGTAAATTACTAGTACAGTGATTCCCCCCCGCCCCCGCATGCTACTGGGCTCTAAAAGCATCTTTAGGACTACAAATCATATTGGGAAAGTATGAACATTTATCTGGTACATCGCTTTACCTGCTGTCATTTTACCATAACAACTTTTATCCTAGCTGTCTGTGCTTGGGAATTGAAACATCAATTCATTGTGACAATGTCTTGAAGAACACATGCATTTGACAATTGTCATGGCATTCTGTACAAAGGTCCTAAATGATAAATGTTTCTCAGCATCCTTAATATTTCAGTCAACTGTTGTGATGTGAAAAATCTTTAGGTACAGTCAACCCTAATGAAAGCAATTTTAAGTGCTGGTTTTGAGCATGAAAATATCTTGGTTTGGAATATATGGATGAATGCCTCCTCTGGCATATTTGTCTTGTGGCTTGGGATCATCAGTTTATTCCTTCTTTGTATATCTTTTCTTCAAGAGGCTCAGTAGGTAGCGATAAAAATCTAGACCCATGTAATGCCTAATGGAGATAATCTAGCAGTTCCTTCAAATTGCTTAAAATCTGTTCGAGAAAACATTTTGGTCTGGTAGGTAAGTGGCATTGGTTGTATTTAACTTATTTTCAGCTACTGATTTGCAAAGAGAATTCATAATATCTTACTGTGGATATATTAAAATATATTAAAAACTAATTGTGAGAATCTTCAAGAGCTTACATTTATTTTCTTGTAAATAAGTTCCTCCTGCCAACCTAGCAGTTCGAAAGCAAGAAATTGCAAGTAGATAAATAGGTACCACTTCAGTGGGAAGGTAACAGCATTCCATGCACCTTGGTGTTTAGTCATGCCGGCCACATGACCACAGAAATGTCTTTGGACAGCGCTGGCTCTTTGGCTTTGAAACGGACATGAGCACCGCAACCCTAGAGTCAGATTCGACTGGCTTTCGAGCAAGGGAACCTTTACCTTTTAAACAAGTTCCACTGATCTCTGCAGGAAAGCATAAACTCAAAACATGTGCAATTAATCAGTCTCAACTGGGCTTACTTTTCTTGAAATCTTGTCCCTTGAATTCTGGCACGAAACATACCTTTCCTGACATTAGTCAACAAGCATAAAATTCAGGGTATTAAGTGCACTGTCGAAATGTATTTATGCACATGTACCATGGTAGTTGTGGTCATTTTTTTTAAAAAAACTTCTTATTACATAATGGTCACAAGCCAAGCTCTTATTAGCTGTTTATCAGCAAATATCTTCAGTGAACAATAACTAAGGGTTAAAATCTGAGAACTTGCTTACAGTTGCTGTAAAGTTCTGTTTGTTATTGTTAAAGTAGACATGCAGAAATGATGGCCTTATAACAAATTATTTTTGAGTTCTTTTTTTCTAAAGCAGGAAGGAAATTTTAGTAGATCCACTAACCCCTTGTCTCCCCACCCACAATATGCTATGAAGATTCTGACCTTATTTCTTCTTTAAAGAATTTCTTGCAAATTGATGTTCCAATGCAGGCATTGCATTTATCAAGTCCCAGAAAAGCTCGACCAAAACTGTAGCTGGGTTTGATGCGGGGTGATGAAGTTGGGGAAACTTTTCCTTCTAAGATACCGCTGGAGTTAGGACTCAAACACAGCAGACCCAGCAGCCAAACCACAAAGTTGGAGCAAAGGCAGTACAGCCAGGTCCTCATCTCTAGTACCTGCCAGCTCTGACCTGGCTTCTGATAGACATTGATGAAATTATGGGAAATTTGTCCTAGGACAGCTAGAGCTTTTCCTTCTTGCCTGCTAGTTAGTTGGTAGCTTCAAAGGTTTTTTGGGGGAAGGAGCATCGATTGGGGTGGCTACAAGGAAATACAGGACGATGCAGATAACTTTTGTTGCTATAGTTACCTTTCCTCTGCTAGGAGCAGCTGCTGACCCACCCATAACCAAGCACAGAGTGCAACAAAAGCTTTGCTCATCATCATGCTGAGGCGGACAAATGAAGGATATCCTGTCCAAGGAACACAAGGCATTCAAAGCCCAACAGGAACTGCTTCAGATATGAACAATAGTTACACTTGAGGCACATGAAGAGTGAAAAATTAACCTTTTGTACCATTTATATAATATTAAAATACAGGCCATGATATAAATCAGATCCACAAGTTTTGAATGAGTCAATTTCATATTTTACCTCCTAACAAATGAATTGCAAGGATTTGTTAAGAAAACAGTAATGAGAGTTCATATGTGTCATTTAAACCATTTGGTTGTGTGCTTCTCGGCTCTGCAGAAATGTAATTTATTGCTAAAAATAGTTTCCCCCCCTCCTTCATATCTACCAAAGCAGCATATCTGTTCTAGAAACTGTGGGAACAATACATGGTTCCCCCCGCCAACACATAGGAAAACATAAGGAAATCAATTTAAATAAAGCTTTATAATAAATATGCAAAACTTTATTTTAGGTTGGGAAAGCCTTCGGTGGCTATGGTGATTTGTTGTTTAAGTCAATTGGTGGACAAATTAAATATATTTTCTAGAGAAAATGTGGACAAAATGGTTCTACAACTTTCTGGTATTCGTAAACTGAAAAACACTGTATAAGCCCCCAAATCATCACATCTGAAGGAAGATTTAAAACACTATACAGCTTTGACATTTTCATTTTGTCTTATTGTTAACTTGTCAAAAGTGAGAGCACATTTACATGAATAACTAACAGAATTCTGAGAGTTCATCAGAAGAAGAGCCCTTCTAGATCAGATCAAGTGTCACTCTAGCCCATCATTGTGTTTTTCCTCTAATGCCTCCAAAAAGCCAGCACTCCACAAACACAATAACCCTTTCCTTCAGTTGCATTCAGTTGCCTCTGAACATGGAAGCTCCATTTAGTAGCCAATGTAGCTAATGTTAAAGCTATCTTCCATGAAAAAATTATTTTAAAGAAGAAGAGTTGGATTTATACCCCACCCTTCACTTGGAGTCTCAAAGCGGCTTACAATCTCCTTCCTTTCCTCTCCCCACAACAGACACCCTGGCCCCGGTCACACGGGGGAGATTGGCGCAGCCAAAATGCGGCTTTTTAGAGCCACACCAAAAGAGACGCACGGCAGCAGGATCGTACAGATCCCCTGAGCCGCCGCGCAGTTGCTCCTTGGCACGATCAGATGCCGGGGGGGGGGGAGCCACGGAAGGGAGAGTGAGGCAGCCGGCTGCGCATGTGTGCGCATGCGCAGTTCGGCCGGGAGCCTCAAATGTTGCTGAAGACGGGTGCGCTGGCGATCCCACGGCCGCGCTTGCTGCGGCATTTCAGGTTGGTAGTACTTTTTCCTAGGTTTTTTTTAATGCGCGTTTTCGGGCTGAAGGGACGGATCGGGGAGGGGTGCACGCCGCTTCCCAGATGTTGCGGTGTGATTGCGCCCGTTTGCTGCACCCCCGATCCATCCCTCTTGCGGGGCAAAACCTCCCATGTGACTGGGGCCCCTATGCGGTAGGTGAGGCTGAGAGAGCTCTGAGAGAACTGCTCTTGAGAGAACAGCTCAGAGAGAACTGGGATTGGCCCAAGGTCACCTAGCTAGCTTCATATGGAGGAGTGGGGTATCAAACCCAGTTCTCCAGATTAGAGTCTGGGGATTATTAGGAAGGGTATTGAAAACAGATCAGCCAATATCATAATGCCCCTATATAAATCAATGGTGCGACCTCATTTAGAATACTGTGTGCAGTTCTGGTCACCACACATTAAAATGGATATTATAGCTTTGGGAAAAGTGCAGAAAAGGGCAACTCGAATAATAAAAGGGTTGGAACACTTTCCCTATGAGGAAAGGTTAAAGAGCTTAGGGCTCTTTAGCTTGGAGAAACGATGACTGAGGGGTGACATGATTGAGGTTTATAAGATTATGCATGGGACAGAGCAGGTAGAGAAAGAGGTACTTTTCTCCCTTTCTCACAATACAAGAACTCGTGGGCACTCCATGAAATTGCTGAGTGGTCGGGTTAGAACGCATAAAAGGAAGTACTTCTTCACCCAAAGAGTGATTAACACATGGAATTCACTGCCACAGGAAGTGGTGGCGGCTACAAGCATGGACGGCTTCAAAAGGGAATAAGAGAAGCATATGGAGCAGAGGTTCATCAATGGCTATTAGCCACAAGGTATAGATAGGGACTCTGGGGCAAGTGATGCTCTGTCTTCTTGGTGTTTTTTTGGGGGGGTCAACAGTGGGAGGGCTTCTAATGTCCTGGCCCCACTGGTGGACCTCCTGATGGCACCTGGTATTTTTGGCCACTGTGTGACAGAGTGTTGGACTGGATGGGTCTTTGGCCTGATCCAACATTGGCATCAAGGGTTCCCAAATCAAGCCGGGGGGCGGGGAATCCCCCGCTTTGATGGCCCGATTTTCGACGGGACAAAAATTGGGCCCGGGGAAAACCCCAACCCCGCGTGCGCGTCACCCGGAAGTGTCGTCGCACTCTTTGTTTTCCCCTCAAATGGCGTGGCACCGCCCCCAGCATGAGACGTCACTTATAGGTGACGCACGAGCGCACACGACACAGACGCCGGCCGGGAGCCCCACGCTCCCGGCCAAAAGACATTTGGCAACCCTATTGGCATCCCTTATGTTCTTATGTTCTTATAAGCATAACATGGATAAGAAAATGGGGGGGGATTGGGTGCTGTAGAAAACAAAGTCATTAATATAATAAGATACAGAAGGATCTAGTAGAATAACAAAATAAATTAGGTGATGAATTAGCAATGCAGGAACAGTTATTAGTTAAACTGTTTGAGTTGAATTAAAGCAAGAGAAGCAGTGTAATAATGCAAGGTCAGTGAGGTGGTAAAGGTCAGACAACTTCTAACCTTTGTGGAAAATTGGATGGTTTCTCTATTAGATTTGCATTGCAGGAAGAAAAGGCTTGGCTGGATAGAGGGCTGTAATTGAAATCCATTACACTAGGCAAGATAATTCCGTGAAGACATTCTTTAAAAATATTTTAATAACAGATACACAGTTGATTCACTGTGCTGTATGATACAATTCTAATTTGATCACAGTCCAATCCATAGCAACCCAAACACTAAGAACGTGCAAATTGTTACCTCTGTATTGCAACAGGTTAAATTGGTATTGTGTGTGTGTATGTGTGCACATGCTCGCATGTTAAATAGATTTGTTCCAAGGGAAAGATACTTGTTTATTTTTAACTGTGAAACACACACACACACACACACACACAAAAGGAATTGATGCTGTTAGTGAAAATGTTCATTCAAATAGATATGGCTTACGTTAATTTTTTGTATGATTATTTTGAATGAATACTTCTCTGGTGCAGTATGATCACTCTTTCTAACTGCTTAAGAGGCAATTTATATAAAAATAAATGGCAAAAGGAAGTTAACAGTATTTAAAGCCAATGATTATTCTGGGAACCGGGCAATTGTAGCTCAAAGTTCCCCAGTTAGTATTTTGCTTTCTTCTTGAGAATTATTGGATGTGCAGAGATCTAGTTCTTAGTATCAATAGCAGAGAAGCCTTGTATGGCTCATGAACTGTATGGTTTTGGGCTCTAGATTAGAAATATATATTTAAATATTGTATTTATATAGAACATGCATGCAATATTTTAAGAATCTGCAGCCAGTTCATGGAAGTGATAGGAAACCTGTTTCCAATACCAGCTTGCTGTCACTATCTTGTATTTACTTCAGGCAACCAGGTTTCTTTTGTTGCTTTCAGATTTGTTCCAGCTTTTTCGTTTGGAGAATTAGGCTGGACAGGAACCCAATCCATTTGCATGGGTTACATTCAGTGATGTGTTTGGACCCACCTATCCGTCCTTCCTTTACAACTAACATATCTCAGTTCTGATATAATAGCTGATGACTGCTGGCTGCCTTATTACCTGGTTTAAAATGTAGAGAAACAGCAAGGAAAATCTTTCACCCCCAAAATATACATGAAAGGTTTTAAAAATAATTACTGGATATCACTTTAAACATAATATATGTTACTAAAGACAATACATCAACTGTTGAGTAACTGAGTGAAGAGATGCTGGATGGCATAATTCTGTGTGCCTGTGTGAACTGGTCCCCGAAAGGGTCCTGATTAATCAGCCAGACAGGGTTGTGAGGCAGAGGATGATTTCTTCCTCTCTCCATTGGATGAATACTTAGTGGCATCTTAGGATCCAACCATACATAGTCTTAAAAAAACCTTTACCCCATTTCACTGATCTTACATTGGTTGTCATGGAAACAGAACAAGCTACTGGCAACTTTCATGGCCTTATCTGCTAGTTCAATATCTTAAGTTTCTACAGAAATAGTTGCTAATTCTGTAAGAACAAGACCACTCTTACACTGCTTTATTTTTAAAAACTTGGGTTTTCTTTGATATTATTTCTGGAGGGGCCACTAATGGGTGCAGCAGTAGGCAAGTAGTATGAAAAACTCCTATGTAGATTTTAGGTGCTGATGGTCTACTGGAGTCTCTGTTATAGCATGATTAATAACCATTTATTACAACTGTATCATAAATAACTATAATAATAATTACAATAAGTATGAGGACTTCTCTGTTCATACAATCTTAGTCCTGTAGCCTAAGATCAGTTGGTTAAGGGTTGCCAAACATTTTCAGATGACAGATATCAACTTTGGAGGGCAACCTCTATGGCATTATACTCTGCTGAGATCCATCCCTAAACCCTTCACTCCCCAGACTCCACCCAAAATCTGCAGGAATTTACCAACCTGGATGCGGCAACCCTGGGTAGTATTACCCTCCT